AATAATAATAATAATAATAATAATAACATATTTTAGTGCTGTATCGCCTATAATAACGCCAGCTGACAACACGGAGTCACAGCCGGGTCGTCTTCCCCACCACGAAGACTTCCGCCACCACTGCTGCTTCCCCATCAACCTCTGTCACCGCTTGTTATTATACGTACGAAAAGAAGCATCTCATGGGGGTGAGTCATGGAGGTGTGTCTTCACTGGGAGGCACGCACTGACATCTTCCATATGACTACCCCGCAGCTCGTTCTCTCTCTCTCTCTCTCTCTCACAGACACATCTCAGCTCATCCAGCTTGCGTGCGAGTGGTACACCATCATCCAAGATCCAGATGCAAGACTGCAGTCTGCGCTACAGATAGCCTGATAATAATGACTCCTCTTTCTCCTACTTTGTCATCACCTCATCAACCAATCAACCCTAAGCCAAGTTGATGTTTTCTTTGTTGCATAGATCAGCAATCTACTGTTGACCTAAAGGTTGAGCAGCTTATGAACCCTAAGAAATTGGATGGATTTGTCAACCACCTAACTTGTAGGGTGATGCACACTACACATTATAGTGACACTTCTCCTTGCCTACACATGCACGTCCATCGTTCTCGCACTGTAGTGCTGTCAAACTGGCACTTCAAGCTTGGAGAATAGAGAATAAGATCCAACTACTACCGAAACAAAAGAGTCAAAAGCTACAGGGATGAATCTTAATATTGTATCATCTTCGTCAAGGAAAACAGCACGAGAATGACACCAATAATTGACAGACACATCTGGTTGTCTTCTTCGTTACTGGGATACCATGATAGTGTTGGGACCAGAACTCCTCCTTCCTTTGAGAGCTGAGATGCATTCATTTTGGTATGAAAACTTGCATGACCTACACTGAGGAATCATTTCGATATCAAAGAGCATGGCCAGATGCGTACGTTTTATTATATGTCAAGAAAGCTTAATGACATGCTAAAGGATCCATTTTTGGTCCTTCCAAATGAACACAGGAAGTCAACTAGAAGAAGAAAAAGAATACTAGAGTTATCAGCGAGTAGCTCATTTCTCTTCCCCGTTCCTTTTCCCTGATTCATTGAAGTTAGTCTGGAGAACGAACTGTTGGGAACTTAGATCTGCAAACATGTACGTGCTTGAAAGGCACAATGGAGATTGGTGGCACAGTTTGACCTCCATCCACCAACTTGCTCCACTTTAGAAGCATGACACCATGTTGAAGGAAGAAAAAGAAAGAGAAGTGGAGCCGACCACTTCCTGCTGTCACAAAGCAGCTGAAGAGGGACTTGAGATGGTGTACATGTAGCGACCACTCAACAAGTACATCATTTAACATGCTTTTAAGGACCTTCGTTCTAATGGAAACCAATACAAGCAACGAGAAAGACGCAGTCTGAGTGATTTAACGTCTAATATGGGAATAGTTTATGTACTTATCTACGACGGGACGAGTGCGGGCTCAGATGTCGCCTGCACCGGGCCGGCGGCTGAGCAAACCCAACGGTCCTGTGCGAGGGAGGCGGACCGTGGCGTCTATGACGGAGCACGTCGCCTTGCAGGAACCGTAGAGGTCGAAGAGCCGGAACCGGTCGGCGATGGTGGTTACCCTCCGTGGAGAGGCGTCGGGCACCCCCCAGAGCTCCTCCAGGTCGCCACCGGCGTCGGGGAAGTCCTTGGCGCA